TTCGATTTCAAATTTGTAAAATGTTGATAAATTATGGCGTGATATCCTTCAGGTAAAACAGTAATGTAGGCTATTTGCTCAATAATGCTATAGATAAAATTATAAAAAATGTAGATACTCGCTAACACGGCTGAAACCACGGGCTCGGAGGGCCGGTGTTTTGCCAATGTTACCGGCCTTCAAAATAATTTGCCGGCATATGCTATTTTCGCGCCCTGCTGTAGTAGTGATACTCAACCCCATGTGTGCTTACCTTGATGGTAATTCGGTCGCATTCTCTCTGCTCTCTCGTGCAGCTCTCGTGGCAGGCGTCCGCCGTGAGTCTGGAAGACGAAGAGGGCGCCACCGTGCAGTGCATGACGCCGACCTCTATAGGCAGGGATGACCGTGACGGAGTCTCGCCCGTAAAGGAACAGAGGGCGCTGTTTTCGATGCGCGGCGCCGCCTCACTGGAAGGCAACCTCCACGAAGCATCCATGTACGTGCCCCCCGCCCCCACCCCACCTTAGCCCCCGCCTCTGCCCCCGCTGCTGTCCCTGCCCCCGCCGCCGCCCCTCCCCCCACTGCCCCCCCCCCTGCTGCCTGGGCCCCCGCCGCCGCACACTTCACATGCCCTGCCCATTTTCACGTCACTTCATACATCACCTGTCCTGTCCTCAAGGCAATGCCTGTGGCATGGATCACTACTGATTTCCTGTGTCTAGAACACCTGCGCATCTCACACGGACGGTGGTTCGTGCAGTTCACAATCTATTATCCGAAATTCTGAAAACTGAAAAGCTCCAAAAACTTTTCTACTATTCCGAAGTCAGAAAAATTCTGAATTCTGAAACGTGTCTGGTCCCAAGGGTTTTGGATAATAGGGTGTGTACTGTATATAATGTAGTGTATGTAATACATAATTATATTATATGTAGTTACGATCCACGGGCTGTTTGTGAACGAGAGCGGACCTTGTCATGCTTGCAGGGCAGAGTTGATGAGTGAGCAACAGCTGTGCAAGGCCGAGAAGAAGCAGTTACGAAGCAAGCTGCACGGCTTCGAGCAGGGATTCCTCGAGATGTGCGGGAGGAAGGTGCAGAGAGAGGACCGCGGAAACATGCAGCTAGAATACCAGTGCTATAAGGTAAGCACGTTTAGCTAGAATACCAGTGCTACAAGGTAAGCATGCTTAGCTAGAATAACATCGCTATAAGGTAAGCACGTTTAGCTAGAATAAGAGCGCTACAAGGTAAGCACGTTTAGCTAGAATAACAGCGCTACAAGGTAAGCACGTTTAGCTAGAATAAAAGCGCTACAAGGTAAGCACGTTTAGCTAGAATACCAGTGCTACAAGGTAAGCACGTTTAGCTAGAATAACAGCGCTACAAGGTAAGCACGTTCAGCTAGAATAACAGCACTACAAGGTAAGCACGTTTAGCTTGAATAACAGCGCTACAAGGTAAGCACGTTCAGCTAGAATAACAGCGCTACAAGGTAAGCACGTTTAGCTAGAATAAGAGCGCTACAAGGTAAGCACGTTCAGCTAGAATAACAGCACTACAAGGTAAGCACGTTTAGCTTGAATAACAGCGCTACAAGGTAAGCACGTTTAGCTAGAATAACAGCGCTACAAGGTAAGCGCGTTTAGCTGGAATAACAGCGCTACAAGGTAAGCACGTTTAGCTAGAATAACAGCGCTACAAGGTAAGCACGTTTAGCTAGAATAACAGCGCTACAAGGTAAGCACGTTCAGCTAGACTAACAGCGCTACAAGATAAGCACGTTCAGCTAGAATAACAGCATAAGCATAGAATCATAAACATCACAATAAGCATGAGAATATCAAAATACAGAAGAATATAACACATATATAATTATATATATATATATGGACTATTCAAGGTAAGCAAATTGAGGAGATCAGTGTTAAGCACATGTAGGGAAGATTGCAGCTGAAATCGCGTGCTTAATGTTTACAGACTGTAAAGGCGAAGCTGCGTCTACTGGAAGCACTTCTATCAAAGCACGAACGCACCATGACTTTGTAAGCTCGTTGCCGCAGCAACCATCCTGTGCGATCGTCGCCCTAGCAACCATCCTGCATGATCGTCGCCCTAGCAACCATCTTGCGCGATCGTCACCCTAGCAACCATGCGACGAGCCCATCATCATGACCACTGGCGCCATCTATTTGCGATCGTCGTGGCAACTTCTTCGTGTACTCGGCGCTGGAACGCGTGTAAATCCGCCTCCGTTGCGTCGACGCCCGATTCGTCACCTGTCACATGCATGGCATCCCGAGGCAGCATCATCTGTCATCCGTCACCGCAGAACGTCATCGAACGACCACGGCGAATTATTCTCGACATGGACGTCATGAATGATCAACGACCGACCCACCTGATGGGATCGACGGACAGCTTTAGCCAATTATTGTCACGCTAGGACACTCTAAAGACAATGCTCAGCAGCGAAGAGTCGCGATGAAAGCGGGCGGGCGTGGTTGTATCTCTCGGGCAGATCTGGTATAGTCAGATCTCTGAGTAGCCATGGTCGATGTAGTTTTGTCTGCTTGCATCAAGCAGTAGGCGCTGCGTACACGCATGGACACGGTGTATCGAAGTGATTTCTGCACGGTCTGTCACTTCGTGGCATGTCAATAGGCCTGGTTACGTGTCCGTTGCCGTGGCGACCGTATCGTGGTAGCCGGTGGTACGTTGATGATCCCAGTTGTGTGTTAGATGTGTCAGTTGTCGTGAGCGCGGCTTAATGGCTGTCACAACGTGGAGAGCACAGCGGCAAGTTAACTATCCCTCTATTGTTTGTCGGTGTAACCACGGTGATCTGTCAGCGCCCGTATCAGCATCGTCACAGTGGCATGTTGGTCTCCATGGCAACGTGCAGCTTCTTCGTGCGGTGCGGGTTTGATTGGTGTTTGGTTTTCGTGTCATATACGCGTGAGTGTGAACGTTTCGTAGAGAAGGCATGATAACACGTCGTTGCGTGACAGCGTACGCAGCGCACCTTCAATGGCGGCCGTAGATAGGCTGCTGCTCTACGCTCAAGCACAGCAGCGAACCAAGCAGCATAATTATGTCTACGCTTTCACCACAAGGTCGTAGTCGGTAGATCGTCTGAAAAAGCACGTGTGCACCGAGCCTCGGACTCTGCTTTCACCGCTTTGTGTTAGCGTCCTCACCTTATTTGGCGAGCGTGTACGTGCGAGAACACATGAGCATTCTAGCTCGTGATCGGTCGCCATCTTGTATTTTATATTTGCACCCAGGAGTACCTCTTACTTTGGCTCGTAGGGTCTATGTCCCCCTGACCTCTGTTTGACCTGGCTCGTTTAGCTATTTCTGACTAACCCTAACCCTAACCCTATATATGTTATATATTATATATATATAAGTTACATCAGGCAAGATTCAATTACAGTACACAATCTATTATTCGAAATTCTGAAAACCGAAAAGCTTCGAAAACCGAAAGTTTTTTCCGCGGAGATTGTCTACGCACCAAAGCTCGCGTTTGGCGCAAAAACTCGACCCGACGAATATGAATGTGTTTGGCATTACTCATACATATTGTACTGTACTGGTACAGCACTTGGCCTCTTGCAACCTTGGGTTTAAGTACTGACTAGTTGCAGCATATACGGTATGTATATCTGTACTGTACTACCATTCCGAAATCTGAAAAATTCTGAATTCCGAAACGTGTCTGTGCCCAAGGGTTTCGGATAATAGATTGTGTACTGTGCGTTCTCTCTTGCCACAGCAGCGATCTATAGATGACAGAGGGCCTCACGACGCATCTATTACTAAAACTAACGAGCTTTCCGTGTCGTTTAAGTTGCTTACAAGTGCTAACCCAGCGACTGACTGCACTTCTATCTCGCTTCACGTGCGGTGATGTCTGATGGTCCATCACGTGTGCTTCTATCTCGCTTCACGTGCGGTGATGTCTGATGGTCCATCACGTGTGCGTCTATCTAGCCTCACGCGCGGTGATGTCTGATGGTCCATCACGTGTGCGTCTATCTAGCCTCACGCGCGGTGATGTCTGATGGTCCATCACGTGTGCTTGCTCAGGGGTAGAAATTAGTTTGAAAATTTACAGGCCTTGATACAAACTTGACACAAGTGAGCGATACTGCGGTAACTTTTCATCCTCGCTGGCGTGCCGGGGACGGTTTTGCATGCTGGGGGTGGATTTTCTACGGGCCCGTCGGGCTTGCTAGTATTAGAAATGTCAGGCCTGAGCCTTAAAATACGGACATAAGGCCCGCGGGCCCGTTAGGATTTCGACCCATGTTACTTATTCTTGCTGTTGCTTCCGCAGGTTTGAAGCGTAAGATCCGCTACTTTGAGGAAGTATTTGAGCAAGAGAAAGGATACAAGGTTGGTGTTCCCTCCCGTACGCTGTGAATGCCACCCTCCCGACGCTGCGGCCCTGTCGTCTCGTCACGTGGTTGCTTTAATTAAACGCGACCTCGTTATAACAATAGACATAATGGTTGTGTTACGTTAATTGAATTAAATTATTAAATTAATTG